GACGGATTGCATATCGAAATTCATTTTCGAAATTCTGGCAGATGGCGAGCACCGCAACGAAAACACCGGACAACACAAATTCTCACGCCCTGACAGTTCACCACCAAGCAAACGAAACGAGCAAGGGCCTAGCTGCACTCCTCGCCATCTGCCAACGACGAGCATGCATCGGGACGGATTGCATATCGAAATTCATTTTCAAAATTCTGGCAGATGGCGAGCACCGCAACGAAAACCCACCTTCACCAGGAAGACGACAAGGTAAAACCGCCGGACCACCCGTCAGCTTTTGCGACTTTTTATTTTTCAGCTCTCCAAGCTCGAGCGAGGGCAGACACCGCGTCATGACAAAAGAAAGCGGCCCAGCAGAAAACACGTCAAAAGCATCCGGGCCCAAAACCACACCAAATGCAGGCCAACCGAAGGACCCATAGGGGCAGCTGAATCTGGACAAAGAACACCCCCACACCAATGGGCTTGCACAGAAACACTACGCGAACCGCAGAGGACGCCGAACTCGCCATTACGAACTCTAAACAAACAACGAACCCGGGCCCAAAACCAGACCAAATGCAGGCTGAATCTCGACAAAGAACACTCCCACACCAACGGGCCCACATCGAAACACTAAGCGAACCGCAGAGGATCCCAAACCCGCCATCCCGAACTGTAAACAAACAACGAACCTCGCCCAAGAACACAGCCACATGAAAGCACACTAAAGAAAGCACCCCCCCCCAAACAGCATCGGTCCTCCGCACATGCATCGCGCCTCATATCGAGACCACATCCATCCAAAAAAACACAACGCCGCGACACTGCACAAACACCACACACCTCAAATCATGGCGAAAACGCTAGATAGCGGAGAAATCAACGACGGCAGCGCAACACAAAGACGAGCGAAGAGCAAAGAGGCCACACGCGCATCCACACCACAGCACTCCAAAACGCCGGCGTGCAGCAAAAGCAGAGGTCGAAAAATGGTTAAGAAATCAGGTTTCCGGCAACAACAGCCGCGAAGATAAAAATCGTATGGCCAAAGTGCGAAAGAGAAGAACCGGCTCGGGGAGCAGGGTGACGACGAGAGCAACTACGCTTCAACTGAAATAAAACGTTTGTCAAGGTAAACCAGAATTTCAAAGCACTTCCAAAAACAGCAATGTGTTTTCCTGCATTTACAAGCAAAGACGGCTCTAAAAAGGAAAATAAAAAAAGGGAAAGAGGGCTCTGATCTAACCTGCAGAGAGTCATAACAAGGCGTATGCCTCAGTCAAGTTGCCCAAAGAAGGAACCCAGACATCATATCTGGGCTGCAGGCATGAGTCTAAGTGGCACAAATTTGCAGAAACGGGCAAGGAGAAGTTGGACTATGGAGTGTCCGTTGACAAACGCGAATGCAGAAAACAATATCTACACACCAAGGTCATGCACAGAGAGAGGAAGAGAGAGTTGGGTACGTAGGGAGAGAGAGAGAGAGAGAGAGAGAGAGAGAGAGAGAGAGAGAGAGAGAGAGAGAGAGAGAGAGAGAGAGAGAGAGAGAGAGAACGGGGTGGGGGTGATGATGGGAGGTGAAGGTTGCCTTGTTGCGTGTATAAAAAAAACAATGAAAACAGATCCGACATCCACAGGGCATTTCTGTGTCTTCAATTACCAAGTGCATCAAGTTGGAAGTGCAGCAACACCGTAGAAAGAGGAGTCACCTACAACCTCCAGTATATCATGTCTGTCTGCTACTACAGTAGCAAACAGAGAATTCTGGACGAAGTACACTAAACTGAGCCTGGACAGTGGACACTACTGTCTTCACACTGATAGAGCGCCCTCTCATTATTGCTGTATTCAGACTTTAAGTGCCGTAAATACAGCTATAATGACCGGGCATTCTATTCCCAAGATCACATGGGCTCTGCGCCGTTGTCATTTCAGAATATCCCATAACAAGCCACCTCATCTTTCCCCTTTTCGCTTTCCCTTCCTTAGAACATATTATGCTGTGTCCTCAGATGAGAGATCCATATCTGCAATTGAAGCTCAGCACATTTGCTCGGAGCATTGCAGCCTACGCAAGCAAGCCAGGCATCATCAGTGTCCCACGTTACAAAAAAAGAGTGAACAGAAAAAAAAAAAAAAAAAAAACGCGGCTGCAGGATTTGCTGGACAGGAGGCCAGCTAACCAAGCTGTGCAAAGCCAGAGTAACCGATTGTCAGCACCCGACCTAGAACATGTAGCAATCGTGCAGCTGAATGCAACCTGTTGCTGCACATTTTCTTGCAGAGGGAGAGGTGATGGACACAGACTATCGAGTAGAGGGAGATGACAATGAAGACGAAGAGCCGTTCTCAAGCACAACGCGACAATGATGATGAACGGTGTCGTTATCCAAGAATGATGCAACCCTTCCCAACCCACCGAGAAAGAGTGGGGAGAGGTGAAAAGAACTGTACGTCCACACCTGAGTGAAAAGGGCACCAGAATAGAGCAATTGAACCTCCAAACCCAGGCCAATAGGCAAGAAAGTTGACAAGAAGAGTTAGGGAGAGGAAGAAAGGGAGCACATGCCAGGGTCCAAACCATTTCAGAATAATTCAGACGAACAGAAGACTGCTCGTACAATGAAACCTGTGCCGTTTCAGAAATATATACGTGTGTGTGTGTGTGTGTGTGAGAG